TCCCCGTCTTTCCTCGCCCTAATCCCAGGACAGGGTGAGAGTGGAGAACATCAGAATGGGGGATCCAGCGTATTTTCCTCTGCCAAAACAGCAGTTCATTAACGGGCGAAAGCTGCAGGAGGATTTATTGGTCATTGTGGACCGAAGAGAACTTTGTAATGTCAATCATCCTGCCTATTACGCTGCCACATATCTCTATCTGCAGATAGACAGCTTGCTTAATCACAACCAACATTCTGAGTCACGCCTGGCTAAAAACGTGGTATAAAAAGCTAGGAGGGTACCAGAAGCGGGATGCCATGGGAAACGCGGGGACAGGACTTCTCCGGGATGAGGTTGCTCCGGTGAGGCACCCGCCCGTTCCCCTGCCCGCCCGCCCGGTGCCGCCGCTTCCCGCGCCCCGACTGGCGCCGCCGGGGGAGCCGCGGGGCGCAGGAGCCGGGCGGGCCGGGGGCGGCCGGGGCGGGCTGGGCGCTGGCAGGGACCGCCGAGCCCGCCGTCCCGGCCGCCGCTTCCCTGCTCACCGCACACACCTCATTACCGAGTCAGCAGAGCCGCTTTAATGGACTTGTGCGGAAAGGCGGTTTTCCGCTCTATAAACGTTGGGTCCCAGCGTTTACTAATTAAACTCCTTCTATTTAGAAACACCTGCATTTTAAGAAAGCTTTCTGAACGCTAGCACTGACTGAATTTCCAGCCTGCTGCAGTCTGAGCTTGTCATGCCTAACCCATGTATCATAACAGCATTGGAGAGCATGTGAACCAAGAGATAAAATCCTCGTACAATACTCCTCGCACAACGTTCCTCAGACTTTCCTACCAAGGCAGAAAACAAATCTATGATGCTGTTGAATAATCTCCCAATAATTGTAGTAATTAAAATCATCATCCAGTCTGCAGTCACCTTCCTTCCTTTGACACTAGTCTTCCCTTGAATTGTTAACGTGTCTCCGGCTGAGATAAACAGAACAAGGGAGCTTTAAAATACACGGTCCAAATAAATTTAGCGGAAGAGAATTAGTTCCACAGACACGCTTTTGACTGCGTTCAGTAGGCGACAGATTTCTAAAACTATCATGCAGATTTCTCAAATGCAGGGTAATATGGGTCTCCCTGCTACTCTTAAATAGTGTCACCTTAAAGATCGAGGAGAAGATGAAAGCCCAGCCTGGTGCTCCACCTCGGGGCTCGGTGTGCTGGGGGCAGGAGGAGAGGGGAGTGCACCATGTAACAGACATCTTATGAAAGATCAAGCAGAAATTGTGGGAGAGTGCCATAATTTTAATTTAATTTCCATGATCAATTTGATCCCAGTGCTCATTCTCTTTTTATTAACTATAAAAGATTTCCTTCTAATCAAAAGCTGCACTTCATCTTTACTCACAAATGAAAAACTCTATAGCAGAAAGAATTCAGTGGACTCAACAGGCACCACGGTCTGTATTTTAACACTGTCTATATATCCTTCCCCCTTTTAATGTCTAGTCCTGGGCAGAATATAGTGGGGAAGCCTTAACTGAAGTTATTAATTTATCACCAGGTACCCCTCTGCATTGCTCTGATAATCAATGGTGGTTTCTAGATCATGTAAATGAAGAGTGTAATTGGGGGGGGGAGGGGGTTTCGCACGGAAGTCCTGTTGACAAAAAAAAAAAAATCTGGCAGGACGCAATTATTTATCTCGGCAATGAGCAGTTTGCGTGTTTCCTGCCCACGTCCCTTCTGTTTGACAGAAAATGAGGCTGCTTTCTTGAACTTGGAAGGGTTTGCCCCTTTCCCACCCGTAACATCCATGAGCAAAACTCCATGCCCGTCCTAGGATTCAGGAAAAATTGTACGGCAACCTTACATTTAACTGCTAATAAATCGATTTATTTGGAAAATATTTGGCAGCTCTTTTCCCAAGCTCTGTTTGAACAGAAGAGTCATTTCATCTGATGTTCTTGAATATAAACCCAGGAGCTTCCCAGCCATCTTTAATGAACGAATTGTTTCCCAGCTCTACCTCCTAAAGACAGCAACTTTAGTAGTTGCACAGATCAAAAGACACGCGTAGAGAGAAGATGGGAAACAATATTGTTCAAAGGAAGTGAACTGTTGCATTTAATTAGGCTATTCTTTATTAGTATTCATATTGAGATTTTTTCCTAAGATTTATGTTGATTTAACTGTAATGTATTTATGATGTAAATATATTCCGAGATGAAAACGTCACGGATCAATTGTAAAGGACCCGGATACATAATTTTAAAAAATCAGTTTCAGTTTATGTGAGGTTCTCACCCCACTTTCGCTTCTTAGTCAGATTTGTTTATGCAGAATCGACATTTAATAGTGCTAATTGCACTCCAGTTAAATTGCCCTGATTGCAGAAAGGGAAGCAATTTTCGTGCTCTCTGTCTGGGTTTGGAAGAAATTGTTTTATATTCACCTCTTTATAAAGAAGTGGAGATAAGGCACCGAGCCTTTGCACAAATTGCACTTATGGGCTGACTGGCAGCATTCAGGCTTTATAATAGAGCATTATTTGGCCGTTTTGAATAATGTAAAGCATTTGCTGAAAGCTATTCTCCTGAAAATTGCTTTAACTTTTAAAAGGGTGATGATTCACTCCAAACCAGGCCTTTGTTACATTGTCATTATCCCCCCAAATGTTTTAACAGTCAGCTCAACACTTTAGCATAACACATTGATCTTTGTTTAAAAACTCGATTTTTGGAGCATGAAAAAATCTGTCAGAAAATACTTGACCCCCTAAAGATTTTAGCAGCGTTACCCCTTCCGCCGCCATTCCCTCAGCCTTTCCACCGCCTGCCTCGTTCCTGCGGGTTTTAGTTACTTTTCCGACTACAAAGGGGCGAGGAGATGGATGTGCGGCAGGCAGAGCCGCCCGCCTGCCTTCAAGCACAGCAGAATCCCTACTTTGGTGTGGGAGCGCAAGCGGGCAGCGGATGCCTTTACTCGCTGATGTAGAGGCAACATTTTTAAACGTCACTCTCTCGATCTGCCTTCCAGACGTATTTTATTGATGACTTTCCCCAAGATAAGAGGAAAGACCCTCTCCCCCCGCCGCCCTGGGGTTGGCCAGAAGCGCCGCGCTGCTACTTGACGACCACCACGGAAGGCTCCTGGGAAGGGAAGGAGCGGGTTTCCCCCCGGAGGAAAGGAGGAAGGAAAGAAGGAAGGAGGGAAGGAGGGAAGGAAGGAGTCACCTGTTGGGCGATGGCTCCCGGGTGCCCCTGTCGGACTCCTCGCCTCGCCTGCGGGGGTTATGTCGCTCCCCCCGCCACCGCCTTTCCGCCGCCTCCACCCGCCGAGCGCTACAGCCCCCCTGGGTCCCAGCCGCCGCTCAGGATCTGCTCGGGGCAGACCTTTCGGAGGAAGGGTTTACCATGCACTCCCCGGACCCCTGCGCCGGCTGCGAGTCAATGTGGAAAGAATTAAGCGCAGAACAGTATTTCCTCCTACTGCCCCGACTCTGTTTAATACGTGGCGACAAAAAGGCGAGCGCCCTTTGAAAATAGCCTTAGACGTTTAAATAAAAGATAATCTCCAGGGGCATCCTTCCCTAGCGTGGCAGGCGTCCTGCAGATTGCATAACACAATGTAAAATAAATTGCAATGCCCGCCTTATTTAAGCACACACATACAAAAAAATATAAAAACACGTAAAGAAAAGCGAAATCCCCTCAATTTCCCGGTTTCTCCATTTTGTTCCACAGCGATGCCTATTTTGCATCTGCTCGGTGGTTTTATACTGGATGGCTGAGGCGGCACCGAGAAGAAGGAAATATTGACTCAAATGCAGAGCAAGGGCCCGGCGTTGCTTGAACGCACTCATCATATTTCTGGTTCAGAATTGTACCCAGCTGCACTGGGGACTGCAGAAAGGAGAGGGAAAAACTCCTATTCCCATCCTCACAGAGACGACTGCAATGATGAAAAGTTGCACGCCTATTGATCTTCCGCAGGCACAGTACGGGCAGGTTCTAGCCAATTACTTAAGAAGCCTCAAATAATTACAAATCAAAGGGACTAGCTTCCAAGACATTGAGGAGCCGAGGTTTGGACTTACATTTCGCACATGCAGAGAGCAGGTAAAGTCTCTGTCGCTCACTGGGCGTGTGGAGTGTGCACAGTGCAGAGGCCACAGGCAAGTGCTGGGGAGGCTTATTCCAGCAGCGCCCTAGCACTGCTAGGAGGGAGCAAGCCTTCTCCCATTAGCAGCACTGCTTCCACAGGAGTATATGAGGCTTGAAAAACGTGCTGCCGGCTGCGAATTTGACTTTCAAAGTGTTTTGCTGGCGATTACTCTGTAAAATAATATCCTCTCTCTTAAGCGACAGGATGTCATATGCCCCTTGTCCTCTCTCCCGCCCCAGTACAAGAGCAAAGGGATGCCTGTCGGTCCCTGCCTTTGGATTTTTTTGGCGCTTTATATAACTAAAAAGCCTTCTCGGTTCCTTTTGCAAAGAAAGTAAGAAATACGTTGTGGCGGAAATCACTTCTAGCATTTAGCAAAGAAAAACCAAAAAATTAACGTGTTTTCACAAAATGTCATTAGGCGCTGTGAGGTTATTCGTATCCAACACGGACAGCTTCCAAACGGCCTGAAAAAGGAGGCAGAGGGCCTGTTGAATAAAAGCGAGGTAGGTATGGTCTACTGGCCGCGAGGATCGCAGGTGACCGCACCGGCAGCGGGGGATATGACACCTCCTGCACAGTTTACAGGCGGCGTCGGAGCGGCGTCGGGCGTGACACCAGCCCTCCGCCGGCGCTGACCCCGCTCCCGACCGCTGCCCCCGCGGCTGTCGGTGCGTGCCCGGCGGGAGCGCGGCGCGGGGCGGGCGGGAATTGCGGCGCGGCCGGGCCGGGGAGTTTTCTCCCCACGCGCTCACTGGCACGCGCCCCGCGCCCCGGCGCCGGCACCTCCGCGCAGCCTGATTGGCTGCCGGGCCGCTCCGGGCCGCTCCGCCCGCGCCCTCATTGGGCGAGCGCCGCCGCCAGCGGTACTTCAAAGCGGGCGCTGCCCGCACTTAGGCAGAGTTTGGCCCCGCCGCGCCGGAGTGTCCTTAGTGCCGCCGGGCAGCGCGGGGCGCACACCGAGCGCCGTCCCCTCCGCCCCACCGCCCAGCCCACGGACGTGCTATGGCTACGTCTATCCTCGGGGTAAGTCGCATCGCGCGCTTCCTCTCGGCTTCCCCCTGGAAAAACTGCCGTTGCCGCCGCCGCGTTGTGGCTGCCCCTCGCACAAACCGCGAGGATGGGAGGTGATCCCGGCCCGCCTCGGGGGATTTCACTGCGGGCAGCCCATCGGGTCGTTACCAAAGAGTTTAGTCTGAAAACTCGCTGGGCCGGAGAGAAGCCGTGCTGCTTCTGCTTTCTTTTGTTTTGGTTTGGGTTTTTTGTTTGTTGGTTTGTTGTTTTTGGGTTTGTTTTTTATAACTCGAACTACGGTTGATTTCCAAAGATTTTCGCCAGCCCGGCGTTGCGCGTGGCGACGGTCAGAAGGCTCCGCACACCGCTCGCCTTGCTGCCATCTCGTTTTTCCGTCTCTCCTGTACGATTGCTCGAGGAGACGCCGCATTTCGTTCCCACGGGATTTTTGGTTTAACGGTAGTAAGCTCGAACAGCCCTCTCGGAACACGCGTGTCGCTCGTGCCCGTCGGGATCCGCTTCCGATGTAAAAACCCCTCGGGCGCCGAGACCGGTCCCCGGCTGAAAACGAGTTATGCCGAGCGGGGCAGGGCTGAGCCTTCCTCCAAAATAAGAGAAAACTTTTCCGCGGTACCGCTCTTTGCGCCGCGGTTCTACCCGCGCTGCCGCGTCCCCGCGGGAGCCTGGCGAGGCAGCAGGGGTTAGGCTGACGGGCCGGCTTTGTCTCTCCCGCAGGAAGAGCCGAGATTTGGAACGACTCCCCTGGCCATGCTGGCCGCCACCTGCAACAAGATCGGCAACACCAGTCCCCTGACCACCCTGCCCGAGTCCAGCGCCTTCGCCAAAGGGGGCTTCCACCCCTGGAAACGCTCCACCTCCAGCTGCAACCTCGGCTCCAGCCTCTCGGGCTTCACGGTGGCCACGAGCAGGGGCTCCAATGGACTGGCCAGCAGCACGGGCACCGCCAACAGCGCCTTCTGCCTGGCTTCCACCTCGCCCACTTCCTCGGCCTTCAGCAGCGACTACGGCGGCCTCTTCTCCAACTCAGCCGCGGCGGCGGGCGTGTCCCCGCAGGAGCCCGGCGGGCAGTCGGCCTTCATCTCCAAAGTGCACAGCTCGGCGGCCGAGAGCCTCTACCCGCGGGTGGGCATGGCGCACCCCTACGAGTCCTGGTACAAGTCGGGCTTCCACTCCACGCTCTCGGCGGGCGAAGTGGCCAACGGGGCGGCCTCCTCCTGGTGGGATGTGCACACCAACCCAGGCTCCTGGCTGGAGGTGCAGAACCCGGCGGGGGGGCTGCAGAGCTCGCTGCACTCGGGCGCCCCCCAGGCCTCGCTGCACTCCCAACTGGGCACCTACAACCCCGACTTCAGCTCCCTCACCCACTCCGCCTTCAGCTCCACCGGCCTGGGCTCCACGGCCGCCTCGCACCTGCTCTCCACCAGCCAGCACCTGCTCACCCAGGAGGGCTTCAAGCCCGTGCTGCCCTCCTACACGGACTCCAGCGCGGCGGTGGCGGCAGCCAGCGCCATGATCTCGGGCGCCGCCGCCGCCGCCGCCGGGGGCGGCTCGGCCCGCTCCGCCCGCCGCTACTCGGGCCGCGCCACCTGCGACTGCCCCAACTGCCAGGAGGCCGAGCGGCTCGGGCCGGCGGGGGCCAGCCTGCGGCGCAAGGGGCTGCACAGCTGCCACATCCCCGGCTGCGGAAAGGTGTACGGCAAGACCTCGCACCTGAAGGCGCACCTGCGCTGGCACACGGGCGAGCGGCCCTTCGTCTGCAACTGGCTCTTCTGCGGGAAGCGATTCACCCGCTCCGACGAGCTGCAGCGGCACCTGCGGACTCACACGGGCGAGAAGCGCTTTGCCTGCCCCGTCTGCAATAAGCGCTTCATGCGCAGCGACCACCTGAGCAAACACATTAAAACGCACAACGGGGGCGGCGGGGGCAAAAAGGGCAGCGACAGCGACACGGACGCCAGCAACCTGGAGACGCCGCGCTCCGAGTCCCCCGACCTCATCCTGCACGAGGGGGTGGGCGCCGCCGCCCGCGGACCGGGCAAGGAACCTACCGCGGGGCCCGGCGACTCCTAGGGCAGAGCCGCCGGAGCCGCCCGGACTGAGCCCCGCGCCGGCCGGAGGGACACGAGCCGCCCCGCCGCCGACAGCGCCCCGGGCCGCAGCGGGCAGGGCCGGGCCGGGCCGGGCCGGCGGACGGCGGTGCCGGAGAGACGCGGCCCCCGTCCCGCCCGGCCAGTAGGTACCGAGTGACACTTTCTTCCGCTTCCCTTTTCTCTTTCTATTGGAAGGCAAGCATCCTAAGAGAGGCTTAAGGTGAGAAATCCAGCTGCAACTCCGAGACGATCCCTCTGTATCTCATAAACATCTGTATAAATAGGGTTCAAAAAAGAAGAAAAAAAAAAGAAAACCAGATCGTGTTCCCTTATTTTTCTTGTAAATGTTGATCTGATAAGGGGTTTGGGGGATTTTTTTTTTTAATTGGTGAATTCCTGAAATTCAGGGAGGTTTTGGGGTTTTGATTATTTTTTTTTATTTTAAATTTCTGATGCACTTTGTGGAAGTCAGTATATATGTAAAAGATATTTAAAATGTTGAGTTAACACTTCACTCAAACACACGTAAGTTAAGGTCTCTTAAAGAAATTAAATGCGTTTATCTGTATGGAAAAAATCTTGACATATTTTCATTTTGGTATTATTAAAGGACTCTGAACAATATACTCACGGGTTTGTTCTTCTTCGTGCCCCCTCCTTTCCCCCGCCCAGTCCTTGCAGGGGTCAGGTTTTTAGTGGGAGCCCTCGTACCCCCTTCCCATCCTCTTTACAGTCACTGTGATTAAAAATGCAGCCAGCAATGATAGCCGGGAGGGGAAGGGACCGGCCCCCGAGCCAGGCGCGCCGAACCTCTCTGCTCGCTCTTTTCAAACCTCCTTAGGTTTAGTTTCTTAAAAAAAAAAAAACAACAACAATAAAAAAAAAACCAAACCCAAACAAATTTAAACGGAGTCCGAGCCCCGCTACACCAGCCAGGAACCACGCCAAAACCTAAGTGTCTTTGGCGAAACCATCCCCAAAATCGAGTGACGGGAACTGTACTGAGGAACTATTTATTTAATTTAAAAAACCTTTAGCGCCACAAGGCTGCCTAGGCTGGGAGGTGATCTCGGGGGAATAAATCGCTAGAGTCAATACTCCGGAAAAGACATTTCATGCCTAAATGAAAATCTTGTTAAATGTTATTAATTTTGACTTAGAGCACACAGCAGCCCCCTGTGCCTTGTATTCCCTTATTAGGGATTCATGTCTTATCAAATATCTAATTAATCTCCTAGACATCATTTGTTCTGGCCAACTTTATCTCAGCTGGTCCACGGGGAAAACTCCGAATATTCTCGGTGACAAAGCTCCCTTGAAGATCCTTTTAATTGTCCAAATTAACTGCACCAAATTTGCATGTCAAACGGTAAAGGGCAACCTAAGATAAAATGTAAACGTTTTAAAAGCCCCAAACTAAGCACTTGATTTGATAACTAGGCTTTTTAATGTTATGGAAGACAACTGCTCCTTTCCTTTTCAAAGACAGTTGATCTATGCAAATAGTGAATTGGAAATGCTTATGTCCCCATGCAGTCAAATGGTCCTTGCATGTTATTTGAATATCAGTGGCTCTGCTATTGAAAAGGTTCAAGGATGCTCTCTGACTTCTTTGTGATTACTCAGTGCAGCGTCTTATTCTGAAGAAAAAAAACTCAGGAATAATTAAAGGCTGGGCTAAGGCCTGGGAACACATTTGGGACAGGAATCTCATTTAGACAGGCTCTTTCAAAATAAGGCACAGTTAAATTGACCAGAAGGCAATTATTGAAATGAAAATTATTTTCCCTCCCTTTGTCTCCTGACCACCAACCTAACAGTCACAGTATTTTTTTTAAAAGGCAAATTGTTAAATGAGATAATTGTGTTATTAAAAAAAAAAGAGGAGGGGGGAGGGAAAAAAGTTAATTTACTCTGCCCAGTACAGATTGGATGAATACAAATATTTTAATCCTCCATAAAACAGGGAATGCAAATAACATCGGGAAACGGATTCTGCTGTCGGCCACCAACTGGAATAAAGACGTTGCGTTAAAGAAAATACATCTGCCGTGAATACTAATAACCGCGTCCCACCTCCTCCGCGCCACTGTTGCACAAAAGCGGCCGGGCAGCGCCGACACCGCCTGTGCCCCGGGGCGGCGGCGGGAGCCCGGCGGTCCGTTCCGCGGGCCGAGGGAAGGGAGCCACCCGGGAGAGGCACCTCGCATCCCCGCTGCCGACCGCACCTTCCCCGAGAGCCGCTCCGGAATCTTCCCGGCCAAAAGCATCCCGGCAAGGTGCCTCTCCTCCCGGCCCGGGGGGGCAGGTTTCCCGGCGGGCAGAGGAGGGGAGTGGGCGCGGGGGACGCGCTCGGGCGGCGGTAACACACAGAGCGGGCCGGGCGGCTGGACCCGGCTCTCCTCCCCGCCGGGCGGCCCGGGGGCTGCGCAGGAATGCACCCGCGCGGGGTGTTGGGCAGAAGTAAGCTTTGTTTTCGATTTATAATAAAACACATCAAAGGACACCATCCAGGTCCAGTTTCTGCCAGGCCGGGGTTACAATTCTCAGCTCAGTGATCAAGGACCTCTTTGCATTGCCTTTGCCCCTTCGGGTCAGAAAACGTCCATCACTTACAGACTCCCCAGAAACGAGGAAGGGAGAAGCTCTGGGCCGCAGAACCGGTTCGTTTAACCAGGAAAATAGAAAGCATGTCACCTTTTTAAAAATAAATGACACCATTCTTTCTTAAGTGTTGGCGATAATTATATGGTCTAGGGAACTTCTACACAAAAAAACCCTGAAGAACAAACGGTGTGAGAACCGAAAAATAAATCTGATTTCAGTCTTTGAACCCGTAGTTCAGCAACACCTCTTTAGTGAGAGGACGCTAACCCGAGAGCGGGAGAGCACCGGGAACGGGAGGGATGTCCTCTCGGGCTCCAGTGAGAAGGGGGCACAGGGGAAGCCGGGCTCCCCGCCGCCTTGGCCCCGCTCGCCCGTGAGCTGTGCCTACCTCCCATTTACATCCCGCTTCAGGAGGGAATGCTGTCCATTCTCATACCTCGTGGACAGCACCTTCACCCCTGCTCCGCGAGCCCGTTAAAACACGGCCAACAACGGGCCAGCGACAGCAACCACCACCGCCGGGAGAAGGTAAAATGCCAGGAAAAATTATCTAGTAAATGTCATTCGATCGCCAGGTCCCCCGTTCGCAGGAAGCGTGTCCCTTGCCCCCCGCGGCGAGTTACAGCCCCAACGGCTCGTTTTACACTTTAAAGGTAACATTTATGTTTTTGTTCTAATGCGATAATATATAAACACCCGATCCCGTGCCTGGACAGCTTCTTAATTGCGTCTTTCAATTCAAATGGAAACTTTATCTGCGGGAGCTGTAATTTACTTGCAGCCATTATCTGTTCGCCAGGATCCTCTCCCACCCTTCCAAAATGCAGATGAAGGGAAGCTAACAGACAGCCCGCCCCTTTGGGTAATTGGTGCGCTAAGTGTTTATTTTAAGTGAGAATAATTTAGCTACAAATTTCCTCAAGGAATAACATCCTCCACACACTAAAAAGCAGACCAGGAGGCACAATCCGGAGCCCGCACACCGGGACGCGCCCGGCGCTGCCCGGCCGGGGCCGCTCGGCGGCTGCCGGGCGCCACCTACAGGCGCTGCCGCGGCGGGCGGCGGGCCGGGGGCGCGGCCGGGGCGGCCGCGGGGGCGGCGGCGCTGCGGGGG